TATATGTTTACTACATACTACATGGAAAGTTTCAGTCAAGAAATGAAAATCTTTTATTTCTGATTAGGCTGTGGTTACGTTGTCATGTGAAAACTTTATGCAGCTCAGCAAGCAGACGTGTGAGATATAGCAAAATAGGATTACAGTGTGCAGAGTTCCCGTTGAATAAACTTATCAGCTTTGAACGTGTGCAGAAATGGACCAAAGTTTTTGAAATATCGTTGTATAGAGAGTGATGATGCATACGAATATTTGCCAGTGATACTATCCACAAGTGTCTCTATTTATCAAGCTGTGTTTAGCAATAACTATTGAGGATACTGCATGACAGTTTAAGTCTTTTAACAACAGGTCAATGGATATAAATGTGGAAGTGACACACCTGGTTTTGGGAAACGTATGCATTCAAATATTTAGCAACTACAGAAATTGTTCTTAATGTAGCGAAAAATACGACAGCATTTTCATTTCACAAAATCACTCTTAAATATGCACGCACCCTGATAAGTTGTGTGCTAGCTTGATACCTAGATACTGGACCATTATTAAAGTTTCAAGGGATCTGTAGTTTGTGGTAGTGTGCTGTATGTACTTGTGAGCGTTCGATAAAGTTTATCCGTTAGAAGTAGAAAACAAAACGTCCTGACATTTAGGAGTATTCAGGGAAGGGTAGCTGAAAGAGGTCCAGTTGCCGTTATTTATCTTCGTTTCGACTTCTTCACGAGCGCAGGTATTTCGCATCTCAAATAAACATCCATTTAGTTGTAGCTCAGAAATCTGAAAGCATTGAAAAATGCTTTCATTCAAAGGAGAAGTATCTCACTTGGCAAAATGCCAGAACTAACATGAGAAAAGTTGGCCTGAGTAGTCAAGGATTTAACTTCAAGAACGAGGGAATAGTACTCATTCGCTAATGGCCCAGCAGTGCTCGAAACCCTAATTCACTTGAATCAGTTGATTTTTATTCGAGTTATTCTTTACACCACTTATTACTGAGTATAATACTTTCATCCGTTATTAAACATCAGTGCTCATCAAATGGAATACTATTACTTCAACAAGACCATCTACACGATTCAAATGCTTTCATTTTCAAAATACCACCCGATTCACTAGTGGTTGTGTAAAAATCATAAGACAAAAGTGTTTATCTTTGGTAGAAATCATGCAGCAAATTCAGTTTCAGTTCACTTTTTACAACCATTACCATGCACTTTCGTGCGCCGGTTTTGGTTGCTGTCTTTTGCTGCCCCATTTGGATAAAAGAGCAGGAAGAAGATTGGAATGTTGAGAGCGAATTCGAGCGTAAGATGGAGAATTCATACAGAATAATGATAGGTGAACAATGAGTGGATGCACGAGCGCCACTGTTTGCGACACCCAGCCATATCACTCAGTGTAGCTAACCATCGGTGACCATTATCCCGAGGTCCCCAGCCAGGGAGCCTAACGAGGCCTATGTGACCTAGTCTCCTGGTTAGGGTTTTCATACCCTCATGCCAGGTCTTATTTTGACCACCTTTTATCTTTTTCCAATCGCCACCAGCCTTGGCAAACATTGCTTGCCGTGGCAACCTATCTGGTGACATGCGGAACACATGCCCCAACCAACGTAACCTATGGAGGTGGACGACCGATAATGCCCAAAACTCTACACCTAACCGCAGCATTGCTCATCCGGTGTTCGAAAACTGATCATCTTTTTTTATCCTGTTCCCGTAAAGGCCAAGACTCTGCACCGTAGAGCAAGACTGGCCGAACTGCTGCAGCATACACTCGACCCTTCACAGACAGCCGGATGTCGCGAAGGCAGCACAAATGTCTCAAGTTGGAAAATGCCAACCGAGCCTTTTTTTATCAGCGCCAACATTTCATCCGTGATGCGTCCGCCAGGTGAGATATAGCTGTCCAGATAGCAAAATTTGTCTACTTTCCCAGTTAGGGTGAAACTGGGTTCTGGACC